GAGACATTCGGATTTCGAAACCGGTTGCCGTGCTGGGAGCATGATTATGCCGCGGTTGCGGAATGAAGGAGTGGGAAAAGCAGAGATAATATGACCAGGCGTTTTCCGTCTATTTAGCCTGGATGCTGTGGCACTCAACCTCAACGTTCACGAGGGAACGCGAAACTATAATTAACAATTCCCTGATACGGCCATGACCAGTCAAAGCCGAACGAGTGAGTGAACAGCTATCAGCAGCATTGATGTGACGGTACCGATCGTGTATACAATATACCTATACAGACTGCTACATTATACAATCCTTATCAAGTCCTTCCTTGTCAACTCCCTCTTGTCAGAGGCGTGTTATTGAGAGGTCCTGGATTGGCCAGATGTATCATATCATATACCCGCGGCGCCTGTCTCAGGCCTATCTACATCATCGCACCAGGTATGAGATGATGAAGGAACCAAGGCAAGAAGGTAAAAGGAGAAAGCTGCTCAGCTGCCTCATTAGAGATGGTTGGGAACTGGCGACAATAGCGAGCTTATTTCGCCAACTCGGCAACAAGTCGTTTAAGTTGTACGGGAGTAACAAACAGTGACACCCTGCGGTGCTCCCTAACCATCATTGGGTACTTAATCTCCGAAACAGCGCGAGCTCGTGCGCTGATCAACAAACTGGTTGCTTTCCTTCCTCTGATTGGAGGCGTGCGATGCCAAGTAGGTGGCCGTCTCGTCTGATGAAGCTGAACAAATCAAGTCGCATGTAAATAACAAGAGAGTTGGCATTGGGTCATAGGTAGTCAGGACTCAGGAGGTAGGAGGTAGGTAGGTATATAGATGTCCCTGTCCCTGTCCACAGTCGTTCTGACTCGTGCCGATTGAAGAGTGTTCAAAAGACGCACAGGCTACGGAGTACAGCTGACTTGTTTTCGGCTTTTGCAGAGAGACCTCGTAGGCTCGTACACGATTGATGAGATGTGGTTGCCGCTCCTCGCTCATCATCAAGACCTGTATTATGAATTGGGTTGTCGGCGGTCGCACAGTGCACTTCCAAGTTCCAAATCGACCCCACTTTGAACAATGGAAAGTTTTGGAAACACGTCAACATACACCGGGGTAGGTAGGTACCTAGATGAAACCCTACCCATCCAGTTGGCAGTCACGAGAATATTTCTTGCGTGATTCTCCAAATGCGTCTCCCCGTTGTACATATCGCCCGCACTCTCAGTGTTTTCTCACTTTTTCTTAGGTAGTCCATGTTGTGATGGTGTCTTGGCAATATGTACCTCCTAGGCACCTACCTAAGGTTAGGTAGGTAGTAAGAAACAAGGCATTTGGTAGAACGTCAGGTACCTTCATATCGTAACCATGGCCCATCCATGGCCCCCTTTCTGCCTGTATCTGTCAACGTCGAGCCAGGATAAGAATATAGAATCAGGTGAGATTGATTAGTCGACACTCCCGAGTCTCGACCCTTGACAACTTGGAAGTACGTATGTACATATGTATGTAAGCAAAAAAACAAAGGGAAGGATGCTATGTACTACATACTATGTATGTATGTACGGAGTATGCATCTAGGTATTACCTGGTAAATACATACTCGTGGGTGAAACCTAAAAAGGACACCCAAGATGTATGTAGTAGTGGGTGTCCTTTTTAGGTTTCACGCACGAGTAGGTATACCTCGCAGAAAAATGACAAAGTTGCATGCGCCGGACGCGACGAAAGCGGCACAATCGAGATCCGCTTATGAAATGCCTCGGGCCAGTAGCCAGCAACGGCACTGCTCCATATACTCTTTTCAAACGAGGAGTTGGGTCTGGCCTCCTCTGGAAGCCGGGTTGAAAAACGAAGTGAGCTCACAGATGGTTGATCATATTTGCTTTCTAGGAATACATATGTACTCCATAGTCACACACACGTGTGTACCTAATAGACGAGCGTATGCAAGGCTAGTTCAAAGTTCTTCGTGAAAGAAAAACGAAGAAATCGAAGTGCTTGAGGAGAAGAAAAAGGTACCTAGATCCCGCTGTAAATGTCAAATAGTCCCCGCGATTTGGAGTCGTGCTCAAAAACCGTACATGGAAAGCCACATCAGCCTACACAGGTACCTATCTCACCTGCATCTCTCTGCACTACCTATGCTCCGTGAATAGTCTTCGTAATTATCGCCGAGGAGGCGATTTCATGGCCTACGTGTGGGGAACTGGCGTTGCGTTAGGTAGGAGGTAGGTACCTAGGTATGCAGCGCCGCACAATCCGGACGTGTCAAAGCGATTTTGTGACTGGTGACATATGGCTGTCAAAAGCTGTCAAAAGGCCACTCGGAGAGTCGGGGTCTGGCATCTGGCATCGGGCAACATGTCGGTGTACCTGCTGCAGTCAATGTGGTGCTACTGCAGTGTCTGGGAACGAAAGCCGCATATAGCTCTGCGTCGTTGCCTGTGTGCAGTGTAGAGGGACCCCAGAGGAGACAGTGTTTGCAAGTAAAGATTATATGGTAAGGGTGCCTGCTCTGACTCATGTTGGCAAGTTGCTCAAAGGCATAGAAGCACTGTCGCCAGAATATGGAAATGTAGCATTTGTTTGCATCAGCTCGAAGTGAACAGGATGCCCATTTCGACAAGGAATTCTGGTCTTGAGACCTAGCCTTGAGATTTGATATTTTTCCGTTCGTGCACGCTTATTTGCTAGAAATCAGCGACTTGTGAGATGCGGTAGAGAGATGTAGTCACTGCATGCGTAGTATACAGTGATGAAGACATAGAAATCGAGACATTACTGTCCGTATCGAGTTCGAGTCTCCGACACTTGGCCCGTCAGCATCAGCAAATTGGTCAAAACGGTAGTGATGGAGATATGAGTCAAGAGTATAATTTGTTGCTTCATGCAATGGTGATGCACAGTGATAAGGACATCAAACCGATGCTTCTGTCCGTACCGAGCCGGACACTTGGTCCCTCAGCAGCAGCGGTATGTGCGATGCGACAAAGAGATAGAAACCACGAGTATCCTAATTCAAAATTGTCTCGCTTGCATGTGTAGGGCCCAGAAATGAAGACACGAAAAAGTGAGAAGATTCTTCTCGTGCTGTGTCGGCTCGGCTGCATCAGCGAAGTGTGTGCAATGTGATAACTATGGCATGTAAGTTACGAGTAATCCTCATCATCTCGCCTGCATATGTAGTGCACAGTGACGAGGAAAAAAATGGTCATCGCATCCTCCATTACACACCTTCAACCTCCTCTCCCCCTACCCCGTCCTCTTCCCCTCCCTCTTCCTCTCCCGCGTCCTCCCCCACGACCCCCTTTCTTTCCACCGCGCCCACCATTCCTGTTGTCGAATCTCTCAAAGAGCGGTTCCTCCCCAAATGCCGCTTCGCCAAATCTCATAAAGTTGACCAAGCCGCTATCCACAACAGCCACCAGCACGTTTCGGTACCCGTGCTTCAGCCGCTGATACAGTCTCCCCGGGCCTTGCCACGCTGGATTTGGTGGATCAAACGGCGTAGATTCCAGCAGTGCCTCGATCTGCTCCAACGTCGGCACCATCGAATCAGCAGTGTCGCAGACCGCGATACGGAAATCGGGCGGGGGGGGATTCTTCTTGGAAAAGGGCGCGCCGGTGCCTCTCCAGACATGAAAATGTACCCGGAACGGTTCTTGGACGTGATGTGGTATCGGCGTGGCTAACGGTCTATGCCGCGGAAGCAACGCTAGTTGTTGGTAGATGGGGCGATATGCTCGGTAGAGGCCCGGCGACACGAGAGGACCGAACGGTCGATGCTGTGGATGCCGCTGCCAGGGAATCATCGTAAAGAGCCACTCCCATAGTGACGTTGACGATGTCGAAGGGTCCGGCTTCTGAGACAAAGAAGGGTCGTTGGACGGGGCGCGCATGACGTGGAATCCCGCGCGTTTGAGATGCGTGTATACCTGGAATTTAGCCAACGTTGTCTTGCCGCGCTCGCCTTCATAGCCGATGAGAAAACAATAGGCTGCTTCCACGCTGAGTGGTAACCCGACGTCGTAGTCATCAGGGCCAAACGAATTCCGCGCAGGTACGCCGTCTGTGACTTTGGGGAGTAATTCCTCGAATTCCTTGTCCGGCCACCATATGTCCACGGTGCCTCTCTCGATCAGGTACAAGGCCTCCTCGGGGAGGAGCCACAATCTTCCCACGCCTAGCTGGTCTTTGCTCCCTGAGACGGCTCTACCAATGTCGCGCATCCAGTTCCCACGTTCATGCTCCATGACGACAACGCGGTCCTGCAGTAGGGGATCGTCAGTCTTGCTGTCTGGCGAGTGTGTAGTCCACCAGTCCGGAAAGTACCAAGCCCGTAGCCAAGATTCTAGCCTGTGCACTCTCGTGTAGTTGAGAACCTCTTCCAGAGCAATCCGGCTTGCTTCGAGTGTGTTCTCCTGGGCCCGAGTCCCGTGCGATTCAAAGTCCTTCTCGCCCTTGCGTATGATTTTTCCGGACACGCCTTTCTTGCTGAACATGGATGCAAAGAGCTTGTGATCGTGGATGCCATCTTCCAGGGCCTCTTCGGCGGATGGGCCGCCTGCATTTACTGCTGGAACCTGGGCTGCGCCGGAGGCGGGATTGTCGTCGTCGTCAAAGGGCATGGTGACGTGTCTGGAGAACGAACTCGCTGACTTGCGACTCGCGAGAGGATATCTCGTGAAGAATCGGTGAGTTACGAAGAGATATCTCTCAGTGACTTCCGCACCTGCGATTAAGAAAGATGTGCCGCTTGTCCTTTTTGAGCGGGCCCAAGGACGAGAAGATAGAACAGGTCGCGAGAAGTCTACCCCCCGGTACTGACTTCTCTAAGCGTGCAAGTGCGCGACCGTCGACGTCTGCAAAATGTGCTCAGCAAATAGTCAGTCGACACTGGACAGAGACAGCTTCGTGGAAGTTGTTGGGCCCACTAAATCGACACTCCTGGCATCCTGTGCAGTGTTGCTATATATCCCTAAATATTGGTGTGGATACATGTCATATGACTCGCGAGTCTGGCCGAGTGGTTAAGGCGTTGTGTTTAGGTAACTCTTCGTGAGATTAAGCTTGAACCGCAATGGGCATGCCCGCGTAGGTTCGATCCCTACGGCTCGCATATCTTTTTGTCTTTTGCCGCACCCGTACGTAGGTTATCAAACTTGCTACTCTTTTTTCGCATTTGATTCATTTTTACAGAGGGCCAGCCAGGCTTACTATTATCGCCTAGCAAAGCGAGACAACTTGTGGAGTTAGTTCTGCTTCTAGGAGCTGTTCCAATAGCGTCCAGCACAGCTTTCGCATCGAGTCGCAAAATCCGAGCATATAACCTTGCAGCATGAGCGCATGCATACATAATGCGGTCGTAACAAGTGACAACAAATAAGGCTATACGGAGTACATGAGGCATATACGTGATGCGATCTGCCATCGTTGAGTTGTACCTGTCATTGTAAGATCTGTGTTTTATTAGAAGTTAGAGCCGCTCGCGCTCTTTGTGTAAACATGCTGGTCGCTCCTTCAGACGTACGCCCGAGCTCCTTCATTGCAAAGAAAATAACCTGGGCTTTGTGCCATCTATACTATATTGGCCGGAGGTGTCCGCACGGATTGTACGGGTTTACGTTTTTCATCACGTGACGTCGTAAGCAGCTTCCAGTCCGCCCCTACTTCGCCATGACAAATATGGTGACGCCGTGGGCGAAGGGACGAAGCTGTGCTTGGCCAATCAAAACCATAGAGACCTCGCTTAAGGGTGATTTCTCGAGAGCCATCGAGAGCCAATCATTTCGCCAAGCTTTTCATGACTCAGGACATCCGGTTTTGAGAGCCTTCAGTACCTAATGTAGAATTGGCTCCGCTTCGCTTCGCCAATCAACAAGGCCCAAGGCCAATCTTTTCACACTGTCGGGTTGGATCTGCGCGCGCCCGTTTTCTCACATGGGCAGCTCTATGTCGGTCTTTCGCGCACTTCTTCCGTGGCAGGCCTAGCAGTTCTCTTGCCACCAGATAGTCAAGGCCGTGCGAAAAACGTCGTCTACCCAGAGGTGTTGCCGAGCGACGATCCTCCTGTAGACCCCGTGCTTGATTCGTAGATGTTCGCGGCCTTTGCCTTTGATGAAGGGGTGCATGTGTTGCTGTACGTGAGTTATGGGTCTATTTTGCTTTGCGTTCTTGATGGTGGGACTGATTGTAAATATTTGTGGATGAAGCGATATGACTGATATGAAGACTCCTTAAATGATACACATAAGCTACGAAATAACGTAAGGTCGTGCAAAAATTGTGGAAGTGTAGCTCAAAAAAGTTACCTCTTCAACTGTCTGCTATTTGTCTAGGCTAAGGGTACCTCACCTGCTGCACCGATGCGGTGTCCACACAGCGTCAGCCTTGATCCCAAATGGCAAAATCCCCCCCCCGACTGCTCTTCCGAAGCGGCGCGAGGTCCCCCAGCCCCGGAGCGCAGCGAAGGGCCGCTGGGGGACCTACTAGTGATATTGATGACCCGATTCGTCGCCCAGGGTGCGCCGCTTTATCCCCTTTTCCCGGGCAACATAAAATACGGAGATCCTCTTGTGTTGATTACCTACATTACAGACTTGATCTGCGCTTAACTCATCTCACCCACTTTCTAAACATTCGCCATTCATTCATATCTAAACGACATCTGAACAAGGCCTGAAACTACGCAACTGCATGTGGGGACATCTCGCGTTCTTGGTCGAAACTCCAAAAAGCAAACTCATGTACCAAATCTTGCTTCACTTCGTCAGCCATCCGAGGTAGTCAGCCACAATGAGTGTCACCATGCTGCTAGCTGTTAGTCCTATTCTCTTTTTTCTCTCCTGACCTATCTCCGTTTGGATATCATACTTACGCGTGAGGAGCGATGCGGACGTAATAGGTACCGAAACCGCGATAGAATCTCAAGAGTCCTTCTTGCTTGGCCACCTTGGCGAAGCAGTCTACCATGCCTTTGTAGGCTACCTTTCCGTCCGGACCCTTGGATTGCTTCTGAAGTCGCGTCTTCACAAAGTCAAAGGGCAAGCTAAAGAAGCTGGCAAAGAACCCGGCAATGGCGCTCGCGCTGAGGGTCTGAGCCCGGGGGGATAGATCCGTCTTTTTCTTCAGCTGCTCCTTGGCCTCACTGAAGAAGGCAAGTTGCCCAAAGTTCAGTCCCATGGCGCGAACCACCGTGGGCGCTGCACCAGCCCACAGTGCCCCAATCCCTTCGCTCTTCGCAATGGACGTCAAGGCATCCACAACGGACTTGTAATTCTTTCGCTCGGCCAGGGGCTTCAGACCGTCACTCTGCATCCGGATGAGGGCCAGGTCGGCTGGATTTCCAATCATGGCGGCTAATCCTCCCGCGGTCAAACCTGCAGCAGCTCTGTCCGCAAATCCGACCTGGCGGCCTTGGTCGGTGGCTCGTACTTTGATTGAAGTCATGAGGGTGTCGAAGAAGCCTATACGGGCGGTGGTGTATACGGCCTGTCGCAAAAGACCCGCAGACAGACCAGTATACAAATCCATCACCTTACCACTGGCAATGATTTGTCGGGTGACGGAAAGCGGAGAGGGCTTCGGGCCGCCGGAACTACCTTCGCCAGCGAGTTGGATTCTGACCTTCACCATGTCGACCGGCTGGACGACGCTGGTGGCTACCATGCCACTGAGGCCACCATTGATGAAGGGCAAGGCAGCTCTCATGTATGGAGTATGGAGGAGGTCATGGACGGTGTGAGCAAGTCCGCCTAGTCTGGCAGGACTAGTCGGTTCTGAGCTCCTGGTGCCAGTGGATTCTGCGGCCTGTTCAATCAAGCCTGCGCCCATTATGAGGAAGCTTGATTCTATAGTCGATTTACGAGGAGACTACCTGTTGCCCGAGCCGCCGTATTGGAACTGGAGGGCGAGGGAGGATAGAAGAACGAGACGAAAATTCACCTGAGATCAATAAGGATTAGCGACATGGTCTCGAAAACGACCGGCATCATACGAAGATCCAGAAACTGCAGAGACACCAAGCGTAATATGGATTCCAAAGCAAGCAACTTCTTCGCTACCCGGCTTTCCGAGGGTGGATCCGGCGCAGGCTTTCCGATATTCCCGGCATTTCCGGTAGTCCGGCCCCAGCATTCCCGGCGTAGGGCCGCTCGGCACTCATATAGGTGCATGAGCAAGTACTGACGACACTTACTAAAGGCAGAGAAACGCGGAGTAGCTGATCTCAGGAAGCTATTCCGACGTAGTTTTGGCGACGAAAGATTGATGCGAATCGAGAAAGCAAGTTCAGCAAGCTCGGCAAAATCCCGAACCGAGGATGTTGGTAGATTGGGGGCACGCGCGCCGCCACAAATTGGCGAAAACCGCGGCCTTGGGATGGAGGACCAAAGTGAGGGCAATTCACGCTTGACGGCTATTGGCAGCCAATGTGAGGTGGTGCGATGAACGTATCAGCTTGATGCTGATGGGTGAGGGCGGTCTTAGTACACGTCACCACGACGTATGCACATGAGCAACGAACTGTCGAATAGTGGCTGGTACTTCAAAATCTCTCTGGATGGGTTCAAATGGCTGTTGTGCGTCGAGTTCTCTCTAATTCTTGAGAATACCATCAGCCGGCTTGAGGCAGGTTAGATCGAAATGGCCTTTGTGTTGTACGTGGAGCAGCGATGAGCACAAGCAGCGTGGGCAAATTAGTCGGCAGACTCGGGAGAGAGATGAATGAAGTGAATTGAACAGGCAATGGAGAAACTTGGAAACTTAAATGTTGGGGATGTCTACTAAGGTCGGCAAAGAAGAGCAGGTAGGGCCGGAGAATACGGCGAGTATAATACTACATTCTTTAACACCCACAATGAAACTCTCTAAGAACTTAAACGAAAGCCAAGGGGTTCTCGACTCCTCGGGTGACGAGACTGTTGGCATGGGCGGCATCGTTTCCAAGCCGCTGACAGCCGGAGAAGGTTGAGCGGCGGCTTGACGATGGGCCTCCACTCAGATAACCTGTAACTTGTCGGGCACTTTGGTTCGCCCCAAGCTCGCCGTAGGGTCCTCCAGTGCGAAGTAACAATAGTCAGCACAGTTTTGGGTAGGACTCAGAAGGATACATGCACGATGGTGAACTGGTGACGATTTGCCATGGATGGGTTGGGTGCCCAACAAGGTGAGCGGCATCGTAGCGTTTTGTTCCATGGTTGGGGTTGCCTTTTCAGGTACGTACATACATAGGTACCTAGCAGGCGTTCACATCCCTCCAATGCGGGACAATGTATTGATGGGTTGGCCTTGTAATAAGCCTCTCGCTCGCTGCCACCACCACCACCATCGTTGCTAATAAACGTCCTGCTTGAGGGCCAAAGGGAGATGCTTTATTACATCGCCAATCCGGTTTCTTCACCAAGTTTGTTGGCAGAGAAGGGCCTTCCTGAAGCGTCTCTGAACGGATGCGTGGCGATTCCAGGCATTTCGCTCGGTCAAGAGCCGAGAAGGCCTTTCGTGAGTGATGCCTATAGCCAGGTCGCATACGGAGTACAGGCCCAGTCAAGCCGAGTGCTTGCCGCTGGCTGAACAGCTTCGGAAAGTTTGTACGTGACGTCACATTTGGCCGGGTATTGGGTGCATCAGTTACATAGCGGCATTCGCGTATGTACTCGTTCGCTCACCCACTGAAGAAGGAAAAGAGTCGTCGATATGAAATGGTGCCAGCGGTACGCGGCGCACTTGAGAAACTAGATTGATTTGCCTACTTACATGGATTAAGGTGCGACGAGAATAATTATAGTTCGTTACAATAGGTAATTGCAATCCGACGGTGTTGCGAATCGCGATACTAGGTACAATTCGGAGCCGTGGCCACAATTCGCTACACCGCCAAGTAACTTCTGGAGTTTGGCGCGTTCGAATTTGCACTGTAAGCGTGGCTGCGATAAGCTGGCAAGGCCCCCGATAAGCTGCCGCGTCTCACAGTGCCAACTGTTGTGTCCGCACCTGAAGCTTTCTTTTCAAAAGTTTTGTCTGTCCGCCATCGTCCGCGCGCAAACGAAGCTCGTAGCCTCAACAACAGAACAGAATGCCTAAACGAAAGCGCGGCGCGGAGTCAAGCTTGACGGACATCTT